TAACCAGTGTGAATTTGGGAGTTAGGGTAGAAGCAAGGCAACTCAGAGTCCCACTGATGAACACATTTGGTACACCCTGACAAAACCCAAATAGTGCGCATCACCTGTCCACTCAGCAGACATTTCCTTAGCATCTACTAGACAAAGAGGTACCAGCCAAGCAACTGGGATGCATCACCAAGCAAGAAGACTCTTGCCGCATATGGGCTCAACATTAAATAGACAAAGCACCATTTCCAAAGAGCCCTATGAAAGACATGAGACAAAAGATTCATTTGGGGGAGACATAAATGATTGCCTGTTTGGGGAGTCCACTGTCATCCTCAGTCAGCTCTGGGGCAGGTGGTGTTCGATTTCTTCTTGGCAATGCATGGCCATGCAAAGCTACAAGACTGCTGATGTCCAATCTCCCCAGATCTTATAGGGGGAGATGGAAAGCTTCACCTCACAGTTAACTGAATAGAATCAACATAAAATAGATTAGAACAGCCACATTAATGAAAGAGGCCATCTAGTTTTATTATTGTTTAATTTGGACTCAGGAGTTCAGAATCTGATAAGAATCCTAGATTCAGGAACACACTCTCTTTACTGGCCCAAGTGTGGTCTATTCCTTCATCTGCCTTTTTGAAAATAAACAATGGAATTTCTGTTATATTTTTTAAATTATTTCCCTGATCCCTTATTTGGTTTCCCTATATTCCTCCTATAAGTGAAACCACCCAACATTTTTTTCTTTCTTACTTCATTAGGCATAATCCCTTCGAAGTCAATCCATGTTGTCACAAATGCCTTTAGATTATCTTTTTATTGCTGACTAGTATTCCATTGTCTACATGTACCACATCTTCTTGACCCAGACATCTATTTGGGGTCATTTGGATTGCTTCCATAGCTTAACTATTATCAATTGTACTGAAATAAACAGGGGTGCATGTATCCTTTTGAATAATTGTTTTTGTGTCCCTGGTAGATCCCTGGGAGTGGAGTTGCTAGGTCAAATGACAGCGTCATTTTTAGTAGTCTGAGGAAACTCCATACAGCTTTCCATCATGGTTGGACTAGTTTGCACTCCAAGCAGTGTAGGAGAACTCCTTCTTTGCCACATCCTCACCAACATTAGTTTTTATGATATGCACCATTCTTACTGATATATGATGGCATCTCATTGTGGCTTTGGTTTGCATTTCCCTGATTATAAGGGACATTCTGCAGGGGAGTGGAGAGGGGAAGGGTACAAAACTAGTACAGGAAGAGCACAAGGGGTCAAGGTAATGGTACATGGGTGAATTGGTGGTGGAAATTCTAGGGGGACTACAGCTGATGTAAAATATATACACATAAACTAAATATAAAAAAAAAGAATCTTTAAAAAAATTAAAAATAGGCCCTCCCTGTTGGCGCAGCGGGTTAAAGCACAGCACTAAGAAGCTAAAGCCACTTCAGCATGAGTTGAATTCCCGCCTGCCCCGGAGGTGACCACATGGTGTGGCAGACCTCTCCTGGCCCGCCCGCTGCTCCCCTCAGCAATGTACTCGGTTGATCTGCCTGTTCTGCTCCCCACTCTGTCTCTGGTGAAGCCTCTGCCGCCCCTGCACCTCTGGCCTGTACCCCAGTTCTGTATGCACAAATAAATAAATCTTAAAAAAATCAAAAAATAGAATGACTGTTAAAAAAAATTTTTGCTATCTGTCCCTCAACAGGAGATGTAGAACTTAATGAAACTAATGTCTTCCTAAACCATTCCAACCCTAGTCCCTGACCTATCATCTGATGGGTTCACTCTGCTGGTCTTTGTGTTTCTCATACTCTTGCTCTCCTAAAATGTGATTTAATCACATATGTGTTTTCTAAATATATACATACATAAATATTTTGTATTTCATATGTGCTCGTAAATATACCTATTTACATGTGTGTTTACATATACATGCATATATTTCCAGAGAGTTAAGTTTAGTTGTTCTTTTAATAAAAGAGGATCATCTATAAATAAATAATTCTGGGACTTATTCACTCAATAATGTATTTCTAAGATTCATCCTTATTATTTCCCATAGTTGTAGTTTATCCATTTTCACCACCTGTAAGATGCATGGTGCTTTCACACCTCAGTTCACACACCCAACCTCTTATCCACTGGGTATTTGGGTTTTCTATGTTGTTGTTTTTCCTCTCTATTATGGAAATATTCAAACAAACACAAAAGTACAGGAAAAGGTATAAGAGATGGGTATAAGGATCTCTGCCACACCCATCACTAATATCAACTATTATCAACACATTACCAGCCTTATTTCATCTCTACTCTCACCCAGTCCTGGACTATTTTGAAGCAAATCTCAACTATCATTCATAAGTATTTCAGTATATCTCTTAGAAAATATCAACTGGTCTTTTAACACACACCCAATTATTATACTTATTCCTTGATATCATCATAAATCCAGGATCAAATGTTCCTGCTGCTTTAGCAGCTTGACCCATGTTTCTGACCTGTGGAGGGAAGGAAACGCATAACCCAGACAGTCAAGGTGGAGTCCAAAAATAAAATGTGGCAGATGTTCTCCGGCTGCAATCAGCTTCTTATCTGGGTCATTGCTGAGGTTGCCAAAACCTGAAGGTGGGGCACGGCGAGGTGCTTACAAGAGGAGTCCCAGGAAGGAAATGGGAGGAAAGTCTTGTATCACCATGTCGGAAGACCCAGAAAAGTCAGGACAACCAAGAGCAGCACTTAGCCGGTCCTCACCTAAACTTCCATGTCAAGTGTTGCTTCTACCTCCTTCACTTAAAATTCCTGATCAGATGCTAAAACACCTGCCTGTCCCTTTCTTCCTCGTATATTGGAAAACAGATGAGGAAGGAGAGAAGATACGTAGGGAAATATAAAAGCAAGCATCAAAAACTGCCCATCATTTCTTTGGCCTAAATCAATGGTCAGCAAAACTTTTCTCTGAATTTAGCTTTTTCAACTACTTAGTTCTGCCTTCAAAGAGAAAATGCAGCCACGGGCAATGTGTAAACCAGCAAACATGATCATCTTCTTATAAAACTTGAGAGAGGCAGAGGGTGGACTGCATTTGTAGTTTGTCATATTTTGGTCTAGACAATACAACCATTTTCATTTCTGTATATCCAGCCTCTCCTTTATCATTAACTAGCTAGCCTTCTAGATAGTTCCTGTTATTGTCCCCATTTTGCAGGACTCCCCTTCTGGTAGCCTCAGTTCTAGACTCAGATTTCTAGGGTTTGTTTTTGGTTTGGCTTGATCTGTTTCTTTGCTTTGTTTTTTATATTCCACATGAGTGAAATCACCTGGTATTTGCCAACCTCCTTGTGACTTATTTCACTCACCATAATCTCCCCCAGTCCCATCTACGTCACAAGCGGCAAGACTGCATCCATTTTTTTTATAGCTCATTAGGATTCCATTTTGAATACGTGCCACATTTTTCTGATCTACTCACAAGCCATGGCACACTTAAGTTGTTCCCCTCTCTCAGCTGTTGTAATAAACTGCCATTAACATGGAGGTGACTGGGTCCCTTCAAATTAGTGGTTTTGTATTGTGAAAGTATACCTAGAGGATTACTGGTAGATCACTTTTTCATGTTTTAAGAAACCTCCACAAGGAGATGGACCATCTACATTCTTTTTTTTCTTTCTTTCTTTTTGTTTTTAAGATTTATTTATTTGCATACAGAGCTGGGGTATAGGCCAGAGGTGCAGGGGTGGTGAGAGGATTCACCAGAGACAGAGTGGG